GCTATACCCACAACATATGGTGGCACACTTGAAAATTTTCGTTCCATCAATGCGCTAGTGCGCGCAAAATGTTTATAGAGGGTGATCCATTAAAGAAAAATCACATAAACTTCAAATTTAATGGAGAATATTTATTTTTTGGCATTTATTTTTTTCAAGATTATCTCTTTCAAATGTTGGCCGCTCTAAGGCCTGAATCGAAGCGGAATAGTCCGCATACGACTTAGACTTTTCATATCCCACGGTAAAAAGCCTAAGTGTGTAAGGAGTGATATCACACGATCTTAGTGACTAATCGACCGGCCCAAAACGTGAAATTATCTGCTAACCGGAGCGTTCTCTCAATAAATACATTCCTTGAGGGGATGTGTGGGAAATGCCGCCGTCTTGTAGGACCAAATGTCAAGATCACGATAACGGTATCCATTGACGGTTACGTTTCCACGGGTATCATTTTTGAAGAAATATGGAGCGATGATTTCATCGGCTCACAAATCAGCCCAAGTCGTTTTTGTTTATTATGAAATGACAGCTCTTGAATCTCTTCAGGTTGCTCTTCATATCAAATGCGGCTATTTTGCTTGTTTACATACCCACCAGCTACGGCTGCTATATTTTCTTCACTTCGTGTTGGACGTGGTCGGTTCAGTCTAAATGTTATCCAATAATAAAAGCTGGGTCTCAAGATGTGTTATGATTTTGCGAATAGTACGCTCAGTAGGCCGATTACGTTGACCATAAGTTGGATCACCCTTTAGTTTTTAACAATTCTGCGCTCTGTTTCCGACCACCATTCATCAATGGATCTTTATTTCCGGTGTGACTATGCAAAAAATATGCCAAAAATAGTACACATCTGCGCATAAAAATTCATTTCAACATATGCATATTTATAGTTTCGTCACATTCATATAAATGAAAAGTAAGTTTTCCTGCGAAAATTGGTATTTTCAAAACTGTCTATATGAATCATCAAACAACAAGTGTATTTCTAATAATTTCGCTATCTAAAGTAATACGGAATTGATTCCTGCAAAACCAAATCAAGGTCGCTTGTATTGAGTTTGTGGTTGTTTTATTCTCCAATGCAACAAAATTGTAAATGCTTTCATTGATTTAAGTTCGAATCACCTTGAACCATCGGTCTGCTCTTGTTTGTGTATTGCCATTCATACTCATTTCTAAATTCGCACCTAATAAATACTTTTTATAGTTATTTATGAATTTGTGAGCACACAAATGGGAAAACAAAATTTTAATTATATTTATCCCTTATTTCATTCTAATAAATAGTTGCTTTAATAATTGTGTTAGTGGTTCATGCTATTTTTGGAAGTCTACTTTATTCAGACGTAATTCCTTGAATCATCGATGCATTTTTGTCATACATACATATGTTCACATGTATACCCTCATTTCTTCACTGCACCCCATGAAAAGGCTAAGTTTAATTTCTCCGATCATTTCGGAACTAAAATGTCTATTCTCAATTTAAATATTCTTTCTTTAAGGAGTTACATGGGTTTACGGGTTTCAAACAACTTTTTTTATTGTCTTATTAAATCTACAACACCTCTAGAATATTTTCCAAAATTTTCAAGTTGATCCGCATAATAGTTTCGGAGATACAGCCTTGAGAACTTGTGCGCTCGAGGTTAGCTATTCTAAGTGCGCCGTCTTTAAACTCGGTTTTTCTCGAAAGAAGTCGAAGTTGAAGTCTGTTGGCAAGATTTCTCGGGAACTACTCGTTCAATCTTCATGAAATTTTACACAGATCTTTGAGATACAATTCTTTAAAGACTTGGACGGAGGATTTTTTAAGTTAAGGTTTTAACTAAAACACGTATTTTTCACATTAGATGATTCTGTAAGAAGTTATCCAACGCGGTCGCATCCTATTTCCGAGGGGTCAATGGCCGAATTTAAAATATTTTCACAATTTCTTTATTAATAGTATATATTTGTAACAGAAAGAAATTCTAATAAAATATTTAATTTTTATATGAAAAAAAAATTTAAAAAATAATGCTGTCTTAACATTACTACGCTCAGATATTCTGTAAAAATAGTATACCAAAAATACTTTCACGCGAAATAGCTCCAAAGTTTTGTTTTTATTTAGTCCGAAATACTTAAAAATTTTCTGGTTATTAAATTCACACCATTTTTAATAGTTACAAACATACATACATATGTATGTATTTTAATGAACGATTTTCACATTTGAAATGTCACATTTTATTGTCGGCGATGAATCACCACGAGAAACCTCGTCAGCACCATCCACGCAAAACAACCCCTTTCCCGCGCAATTTACTGTTACACTAGAAAAGCTTATTTGTGCCATTCATTTGTTGTCTGCCCCAACAAAAATATTATTAAGAATGCGCAAATTGAAACAAAGAGTAAAGTAAAATTTCCTTCCAAATGACGTCCGCCAGAGCAAAGTAATGCTAACAGTTGTTAGTTTGTTGCGATTTTTTTTCCAGAGAAAATCAATAAGCAAAGGCAGAATTTACCATTTCCAAAAAACGCTTTTACGCAAAGGACTGCTTTGCGTGCTCTCCACCTTCTTTGGGGATTTGGTAATATGACACTTGGACGCCAAAAATTGCGGGCGCCGCTCCAAACCAGCACATGCCAATGAAATCAAATGACCTGACCACAGCCCTACATACATACAAGCATACTTAATTTGCTATATAAAAACCAATTATTATATGTATATACTTAGAGTGGTGGATAAAAGTCTACATACTCCCCTGTTTTCTTTGATGCGAAAGTACAAAAACTTTTTAGAAAAATGTGTTGATACAGTTTTATTCTAATCTTCTTTCTAAAAACAATAATCTTGAAAAAAAAATCCATTAATTAATAAAAGTACAAATTTATGGAATAAAAACTCAAAAATTGTGTTGACGAAAGTCTACATACAATTCGAATATCATATTTTGTACATTGTTATGATAACAGCAAGGTAATTTTTTTAGTTAATTTGTATTAGAATAAATATTACAATGAAACATTATACATACATTTTTCTAAAAACTTTTTGTACTCTCATATCAATGAAAATGAGGGGTGTATGTAGACTTTTGTCGCCACTGTATATGTGCATATAGAAATTTGTATGTAAATACATACATACATATGTATATATCTACTACATCGGTTATGCTTTTTGGAGCACATGGACTTTGTTTATGTTTTGGTCGCCAACGGTGATTAAATAGTGTTAAAAATAGCTGACAAAATATGTACATACATATGTACATGGGAAAAGAAGGTAGAACGCTATAATTAAGTAAAAGAGAAACTTCCACCGACTTATTATAAACTTAATACGGGAAGACCAAGCCCGGATCAACTTACATGTACATATAAATTGTCACATGGACTTGTTTTTCTTCAAATTCATTTGGCTGCCTCATTTTTAGTTCGTATTAAGAAAATTTTAGACAAGGAGATGACAGAAAGTTTCAAAAGCAGCTGACTGTTAATAGTACCCTAGTTCTCATGAATTTTTGTATAATCTAATTTTTGAAACTAAGACATATGTATTAATACGAGTATATGTAGTTTCTTATGATATCCGAACAAACGATACGATATCAGTTTTTTTAGCATTTACTCTCCCAGAATCTTCAAAGTTCGGTTCTTGCTATTAGATCCATATAAATTCGTGAGCCAACCTCCCCCATTACATTAAGTTTTGAAAACAAAAGTTTGTTTGTGCAAAAATATGCGTGCGTTTCTGCCAAGAAGTACTTGATGCATATTAAAAGGGTGTCCTAAAAATAACGCAAGATTGGAATTAAATAGAAAACACAGTTTTAGGTATTTTTTAATTGAATCTTAAAGTGAAAAAAAATACTCCAATTTTTCCATACACATACACACTAATTATTCCATCACTACTCTTTAAAAAATTTCATTGTACCTTGAGTCTCCTCTTTTAAAGCGTGTTTGTGGGTTTGTTGCAGTTGACTTGTGATTTTAAATAACTCCATAGAACCTGTAGAGAGCCGTTCTTGTCCACGACGAGGTTCCTGGATTGTCAATGACACTCTCACTTTGATATTGTCATTTGAACGTCTTGTTTGCGGCCGCCAAGCTTTCATAATTTTGAAATATTGTACAATAATGAAGACATGCCCTTCTATCGTGAAACGCCATTTTTCCTGAGCCTAAACTGCCGTCGGTTTTTTTTCTAGGGTTGTCAACACTTTACTTCATAAATGACGGCAATTTCAAATCTTGCCTTATTTTAAACACACCCTTTATTATCTGCGGTGCGTTTCAACCTTTAGCCAGGTAACCTATTGCAAAAGGTTCCGGTGATAAATGAATGAAAGCGTGTGGCTACCAAGTGATGTCTTCAAGAATTTTTATTTTGCCAAATGCACGTTTAATAATTTTAATGAATGTTGTTCTTTCGTGCTTTGTGCTTTCTAAAACGTCTCTCTCTCTCTCTCTTTACCGTTGCTTTTTATTGCGCGTATTTACCTTTAGCTTTTTCTGTGCGTGATTTGTTTTTGTCTCCTTTGTAAATGATTCGAACGGTTCAACGTTTTCTTGTTGGGTTGGTCAGTGACTCATTACCAGCTGTGGATATGCCAGTTATCAGAAATGCTTAGACTTGTTTTAAGGAGGAGCTTCAAAACACAAAGAGAATTTGCGCACATATCGTACGCACAATTATCTTTTTTGTCTGTTCTGTCTATATATGTATTTACACATACACTCTTTGTTGGGAAGATTCGTGCAGGCCATGCCGTTTTTTTGTCGCATATTGATAAATACTATATGCAATCAGTAAATGGGCATGTACAGGTTGGGTATTTTGCCTTAAACAAATTATTTTTGGCCATAATACGCAGTTCACTCTAGCTCTAGCGTTACAGTACAAATTATTGCAAAACTCTAAAAACTTTTTATAAGCAATTTTTTATTTAATTGTGTAACAAAATTTGAACTCTTCTTCCACTCTATATTTTCAGCATGAGTCGTCCAACACAGCAACGCACAATGCCACAACAGAAGCCGCCGAAGCAGTTCCTTACCGAGCAGGAGGCCATCGCGGCCTCCGAGCTCTTCGATCTCTTCTGCGTCGCAACGACAATGCGCCAGATTTTGGGTTTGCATCGCGACATGTGCGACATACTGGGCTTACGACCAGCACCGATCAACGAATTCTACCCGATGTTGAAGGCGAAGATTCGTTCGTGGAAAGCGCAGGCGCTATGGAAGAAGTTCGATGCACGTGCGGCGCATCGCGTCTACGCGAAAGGAACAGCGTGCAATGGCACGCATGTGCTAGTCATTGGCGCAGGTCCATGTGGCTTGCGCACCGCCATTGAGGCGCAGTTGTTGGGTGCCAAAGTCGTTGTGCTGGAGAAACGCGATCGCATTACGCGCAACAATGTGCTGCACTTGTGGCCGTTCGTCATCACCGATTTGCGGAATTTGGGTGCAAAGAAATTTTATGGCAAATTTTGTGCCGGTTCCATAGATCACATATCCATTCGGCAGTTGCAAATTATATTAATAAAGGTTGCGTTGCTGTTGGGTGTCGAGATACATGAGAATGTGTCCTTTGAGCGAACAATTGAGCCGAGTGGCGATGGCTTCGGCTGGCGCGCGGCCGTAACACCAGCGGATCATGTGGTTTCATATTATGAATTCGATGTTTTAATCGGAGCCGATGGTAAACGTAACACACTGGAAGGATTCAAAAGAAAGGAGTTTCGTGGAAAGCTGGCTATTGCAATTACGGCCAATTTCATAAATAAGAAAACAGAGGCTGAGGCTAAAGCGGAGGAGATAAGCGGCGTTGCGTTCATATTCAATCAGTCCTTCTTCAAGGAGCTATATGAGAAAACGGGCATCGATTTAGAGAATATCGTCTATTATAAGGACGAGACGCACTACTTTGTTATGACCGCGAAGAAACACAGTCTCATAGACAAAGGTGTTATATTGCAGGTGAGGTAGAAATTAACATATTTCGTTTGAAATTAGAAAAGAATAACTTCCAACTCTTTAGGATTTCTCCGATCCGGCCGAACTGCTCGCTTCAGCCAACGTGAGCGCCGAAAAGTTACTCGATTATGCGCGTGAAGCGGCCGAATTCTCCACAAAGTACCAAATGCCAAATCTAGAGTTCGCTGTGAATCATTATGGCAAACCCGACGTCGCCATGTTCGATTTCACATCCATGTTCGCCGCGGAGACATCCTGCCGTGTGATGTTGCGGCACGGCCATCGTTTGTTGCAATGCTTGGTGGGTGACAGCCTGCTGGAGCCCTTCTGGCCCACTGGTTCGGGCTGCGCGCGCGGTTTCCTTTCTAGCATGGATGCCGCATATGCGACTAAACTTTGGTCTAACCCTCGCAATAGTATTATGGGCGTTGTGGCGCAGCGTGAAAGTATATACAGGTGAAATAAAGTAGTACCAATGACATTAACTAATTARAAACGTCAACTATAAAATAAAACTTAAATATGTTTTCAATTTAGACTGCTTAATCAGACCACACCTGAGAATTTACAGCGAGACACAGGTTCTTATACAGTAGATCCAGCCTCAAGGTATCCCAATCTGAATCGCACGGCAGTCAGCCCCTACCAGGTGAAAACGCTCATCGACACAGATGATCCAAAGGTATTCGAGCAGCCAATAGCCGAAATTATAACAACGCCAGCGTTAGCTGAGGCCCCTGCGTTGTTACGCAAATCCCGTCGTAGTACAGGTATGTTTTGCTTAGATGGGCGGCAAGTGCAGACTCTTAACATTTCGCTGTATTAACTGTAATTAATGAATAAATACAAACATTTTATTGATCAAATCAATATCTTGACTTCATTTTATTGCAACCGAATTGTTTGTGTTTGTCTCTTTTAATTTTTCATTCCTTACATTAATACGCGCTTTATGTTCATATCTTTGAAGCAATTATTAATCATTTTTAAAATTCTTAAAGATATTGTGCCTGAAGCTTTGCTACATTGGGTTTGCACTCAGCTGCATATGTACGATTTCGTAAAGGAATTACAGGAACCTGCCGACATACTTAAAAATGGAAAATCACTATGCGCCTTAATCAGCCGGTAGCCCATAATATCATGTTCTTCTTTAAATGCATTTTGTAAATTTCTGTTTTCATTTGAACGATTCATATAGTTTTCGGCCGGACTTAATCGATTACTCAGCAACACGTGACTTAACGCTGGCTGAACGTAATGAAGTTGCTTTCAGAATATTAGAAGCGGAATATCAACTGCCACGCATCATGAGCGGTGAGAAGTCTGTAGATCTAGAGAAAGTGGATACACGCCACTGGCTGCACTATTTGAACCAAGTGCGTGAAGTGTTCCGCGGTGAAGTGCCGTATCTGAAACATCCCAAGATGGATATCTCAGAACTGCGCGAAAAATATCGTCTTAACAATGCGCATGCGCAACCAGACTTCTCCAAATTGTTGCAACTTTCCACCAAGCCGAAATATCCGAAAGCAAAAAGTCCTATTGAGGATATGGTGGACGTGCCGCAAATAGTGCAACGCCGCTCGGTGCTGGATGAAGAGCGTGTGAAACGCGTGCGCAGGCATGAGCCGGCTGCAGGCGGCCCAGCAGCAGCCAGTTCGCCACAACAAGGTATGAGAAGTTGCAAAAAAATATCAAAATAGCAAATACAGTGAATTTGTGCATTGCAGGACAAACCGATACACCACGTCGTGCCAAGAAGAGAAGAAATGTCGAGAAGGCTGCTAATATTGTGAGTACCACAATAGCGGTAATAAAGGATGCTTTTGTAAATTACATTTTCAGACATTGAAAAGTGATCTAAATAAAATTTCTGCAATCGAAATTGTCAGTAATAGTATAACATACATAAAATTTAAATTGAGATGAAGAAGGTTAAGCATATATTCAGAAATCTTAAAAATGAATAAACATTTCGAAATTTTTAATTTTTTAACATTTTTCAAATTTGGCTTTTATTGGATAAATTTAATTTTTTTAAATGATTTGAATAAATTTAAAATTAATTTTACCAAAAAAATAACAAATATCAAGTTAATTTTTAAACAAAAACACTTGAATAAGAGCACGAATTGGTAAAACAATGAATTTAAAAATAAAAATTAAACAATTTGTTAATGCTATTTGAATCAGAAGTCAGGATCACTTTTCAAACACACACAAACAACACGAAAAAGTTATATATTTTGAGTTTTACATACGAACATATGTACATATATCTTATCACATGTGATGATTATTATTTGTAAATTATTCCATTTGAAAAACAAAACGTACCGAAACGCTTGTGTATTATTATTTTCATAAGGTTCATATTATGCTAGACCGTCATCATCAGAGTACATGCATCGTCATAAATGAGCTTTCAGACTTACACTCTGAGGTATTCACCATATATTATTGATGTGCTCTCATGGTTTTTTGCATTTTTCGTACCTCCCATCTGTTTTACTAATCTGACTACATTCACACATACAAATGTTTGCTATTACCTACTCGTTCATCACTAGTTTTCATAAAAAAAAAATCCATACAATTATTAACCTTTATATTCATTTACTCACTTTACGTTTGCGCATATCCTTCCGAAGCAGTTCGTAATCAAACGCCAGGTCCCTTAATGTATTTAATAAGCATATGTATGTACACCCTATTGACCCTCTGCTCAATTTGCAAATTGCTGTTATTACGACTTATTAGGAAGAACGACAAAAGCGCCTACAAGAAATCGAACAAAATCGCCAGGAGCGTATAAGCAAACGTCGGCAACAACGTTATCAACAGACACAGAACTTTTACAAGAGCTTGCAAATGTTGCAAGTCAACACATTGCTGCGTGAAACTGACGATCCCACCGCATTTGAGGACTACTCATTGTTCATATATCGTCAACATGCGCCGGAGTTCAATGATCGCGTAAAGGATTTGGAGCGCAAATTGCTGTATCCTGTAAGATAGTCAAAGTTGTTGTACTTTTCTTGTTAACTGTTGCCTGCCACCATGTTTGATGGCGTGAATGGTGCAATGCTATTTACATGTTCTAAATGCTCCTGCTAACCTACTTAACACTCGCGAAATGTTGCTGATGTCGAGTGTTGCAATAATCGCCGTTAACCGTTGATAACTAATATTGAATGAATTATTTTCTTAACTAGGATTTCAAAGTTTTTTTAGAGAAATTTTAATAATATGCCGCTTGGATTTTAAATAATACAATCGTTCTTTGCTCAATAGTTAACTGTAAGAGTAAAAGAATTTAATACTTATTTGGTGGAGAAAAGCATATTTGGCATTAGTTGTGATATTAAAGTGTATTGAAGTGAGTTATTTAACTGGAAAATCGAGTTTTTTTTTTTAATTAGAAAAAAATATACAATATATCAGTATTACTGAATTCATAGTTTGTACTATATAGTATTTGGTCTTCATAATTAATAAACAGGCTTGATTAGATTTTAAAGAACCGAAAGTTTTTTTAAGTAAATTTTCCTGATTAGATACTTTTCATCGTAAATTTTGAGGTTATTATATCCTGTCTCCTGTTTATAACTAATTTACGTCTTTTAATTCTTTTAATTCACGTACTTTGTGCTGTTGTCGGGACAGCTGATTGATTTCTACAACAGCATTTCGACTTTTACAGGCGATAGCTATTAAAAAATTATATAATTTTTACCTTCAGTAGTCACTGGGTCCTAGTATGCTGAACGTAGTTCTGAGTGATTCTTCACATAAAATAGTTTTTGACTTAGAAAAATCAAAGATTACTTATTGTTTTGAGCATAAAATCTATACATTTCATGTTTTTGGTTTATAATAGAGTTGCGTGTGATAATTTGTCTGTGAAGTCATTAAATAGGTTATGTTTATTTAGTTTCATGGGTTTCGTGTAATCGCAACTAACCAGTGAAAGCGACTAATGTATTCGTGCATAACTTGATATATGTTTTGTTTTCGCTGTGGCCAGTTTGTGTTTAATTAATTTTATTATAATAGTGTTTTAAGTTCTACTGTACGTGTACCTTTTTTGTTTAGTATTAAGCTCCATTTAGATTGTTGTACAACTTATTTGCAAAATGCTATAATTTTTTTTATATTGAAATCATGATTTTTTTCTTTTTCTCCATAAAAACCTTTCCGACCACCTTTCCTACATTTTACTTTGCTAAAATTTAAAACTGAACACATCACTCCTTCCCATTTCCACTTCCCTACCTCCGACGAACTGTGAAATTCAATGAAATGCCATGTACAGGATCGCAATCGCGGCGATATACCATCAGCAATGCCACGAAATAATCCGGATGAACAGTTTAGTGATCGCATCAAATCTATGGAGCAACGCATAAGTTCGAAGAATGCTTGTGGCAACGATAAGAAGCCCAAAGACTTAATGCGTGCCATTGGCAAGATCGACAGCAATGATTGGAATGTGCGCGAAATCGAAAAGAAAATCGAACAATCAAAACGAACTGAAATACACGGTCCGAAAGGACGTGAAAAGGTGCCGAAATGGAGTAAAGAACAATTTTTGGCTAGACAAAATAAAATGGCAAAACCAACGCGTCAAGAATCTGTGGAGGAGAAGTTTAAAGAGATCGATCAAACCTTAAAGAATTTGGATAAACAACTAAAGGAGGGTTCCATATTGGAAGTTGGTGAACGTGGCCGTAACAAGGTCGCATCAATTGCTGGGCAATTTGTTAAAAAAGATGATAAAACGAGCGACGAAAAGAGTCCTACTCCCGCCGCTGTCAATAGCGCGCCGAAATCCGTGAGTAATGTGCTAGTTGGGTCGACTTTACGGTTAATTTGCACTGAAGACGTTGACGAACAATCGCAAGCATCATATGTACGACTTTAGTATTGAAGTTATATAATTTAATCTATATTGATATTATTATGGCTACGCTTACGTATTGTTAGTTACACTTTTCTTCAGTGGCAGTTCAGTGAAGTCGACCCTTTGGTGATCACTTTGTTTTTGTGTTGCTTGGGTTTTAGTTATTGCTTTCTCGTTTTATCCAACGTTTATCATTTAATTGATTTTTTGTTTGGTAATATTTTTTATATGTATCATATTAATGCTCCAGAAAGAACCTAAATTTCTTGAAGCAGGGAAATTATATCGGAATGGTTAATGTAATGTTTATTGAATCGCCATACGTTAATGCATTGAGGTTTAAAGGTTCTCTTAATTAGCATTTTAGTTCCGTTCCGAGGTGTTTCGTCCTTCATCTTTGCACATAACTCATACCCATACAAGCTCTCATACTCGAATAACATTTGAGCTCACCATTTTGTATCATTAATCATATCGTTAAGTGCTTTTAATGGAGTTTTATAAGATTATATCTAATAATAATCATATTTTTCATCATCCAGAGCGCTAAGGTCGCGTTGGCATTTAAGAAGCAAGCCGCGTCCGAAAAGTGCCACTTCTGCAAGCAAATCGTTTACTTAATGGAAAAAATCACCGCCGAAGATCTCGTATTTCATCGTTCGTGTCTGAAGTGTCATCATTGTCACACGAATTTGCGTCTCGGCGGCTATGCATTCGATCGCGACGATCCAAATGGGCGCTTCTACTGCACGCAACACTTTAAGCTGCCAGCAAAGGCTATACGTCCTGTAGTTAGAAAACCAGGACAAAGGGTAAATATCACTCACTTTTATATGTATGCATGCATAAAAGTCAAATAATGACTATGTAATTTCAGAAGCCAACACAACAGCAACAAGCTGCCGCCGCTGCAGCTGCTGCTGTCGACATTACCGTCACAACAACGAACGCTGCAAGTGGAATCACACAAACAGACCTACCCAAAACGCCTGATAAACTACGTGGTCCCGCTGACAGCGTTGTACAGCTCGATTTATTGGATCGTGGTCAAACACCGGAACGTATCGAATTCGAGAATACCGATGCCATGTCCGATGGTGAACCTTCGGAGGAGCATATACTCGATGAGCACGAGTGGTCGGGCAGAAATTTCTTGCCTGAATCTAATCAAAATTCTGAGTCGGATCTCTCCAGTTCCGATGACTCGGATACCGAATCCGATGCTGATATGTTCGAAGAGGCAAATGACTCACCATTGGCCGCACAAACATTACAATTGGCCACCGATTGGATTGGCAAACAACATTACTCCGATAGTGATGATTCGGATGATTTTTATGATTCGAGTGACGGAATTGCGGGTGAGTTTTCCAAATTCGTAGTATTAATCATATAAAGTAAATTAGCATCTTCTTCACACTAATTAACGATTACACCCATATCAACAAAAACTCGGGGTGTAGATTCGATCTATTAAAATTTATCTAAACCGTGCTCAAATACTTGGTATTTCGGATTATTTATGAGTTTTTTTATAATTGCTTTGCATTGACTATTTCTCAGATGACGATGGTAAAGACGATACCGAAGGTGAAGATTTCAAGAAGGCTCGCGAACTACGTCGAGAAGAAGTGCGCCTACAGCCACTGCCCGCGAACTTGCCCACTGACACGGAAACTGAGGTGAGTTTTAATCATTGATGTCATATTATTGATAGCTTATGTTCTTTTTTTTAATTCTTGCAATAAATCACTTTTATTTTTGTATTTATTTTCTTCTATCAATTGTCATCACATATACTCACCTTGAAATACAAAATTTAATGGTGTTGGTTTCATTATTATCACACAAATTTGTACTAAATTTAATTTTCAAACAAATCCACAAAACAAAATATAAAAATAGATTCAATTACCAGTTGAAAATAACGAAAGCATTGAAAATGTAGAAATGATTCCGGTTCCGCCAGGTAATGAGCCTATTGAACAGCCTGCCTTAAAGGAATACCCTAAACCAGATATTGATAAGTGTTCCGAAAATTCATATAACTCTGAAAAATCCTTCAAGTCGGTGGACTCATTTGTTGGTGACATAGCAGCACTTACCACAAACGCCCTTTCTAAAGGGCCACCACCTACAAAATCGGATATTGAGAAGTTGGAACAAAGCTCTGGACGCCACTTTAGCGCCGAAATTGAGGCAATTAATGAGAAACTACACCGCCTCAACAGTGTGGTCAAAATGAGTAAGGATATCGAAACCATAGCCAAAGAAAATTTAGTAAAGAGCGATATACTCAAGAAACTAACAATGAAAGAAAAATGGTTGGCTGACAACTCTGCGAGCAACTCAAATCCACTGGCACCCAAGTCAGCATTTGAAAATCGTTTTGCGCCGAAACAGGATGTGCTAAAAGAGCAGAAAAAAAATGTGAAAACTGATGAGAATATAAAACAACCTACTGCTACCTTGGCTGAAAGTGTGTTAGAGACGTTAAAAACAGAATTAAAATCCGAAAAGAGTAACGAGAATTGCAGCACAGATATTAAAAAATCTGCCGCGGCTCAAAAAGCCACTTCACCTGAAGAGGTATTGGCGAGTTTGAAAGCAGAGATTAAATCTGCTTCGCTCAATCGCCAAGGCAGTCTTAAAAGACAACAGCTAAGTCCGACTGCCAGCCCCAGTGCCAGCAAAAAGCCCAGTGCAAGTGCTAGTCGCTCCAATAGCTTTAAGAACAAAGCTACGCAGGAAAATAAAGAATCTGCTAAAAGTGGCGAGCAGTCTGTTAGTCGGACAAATAGTCTTAAGCGTTCGGAAAAATTCACCTCTAAGGATGAGGTCATAACAAATGATAGCCGAATTCAGATACAAAACATACTGGGTCTTGTGAAGAGCATTGATGATAGCAAAGATAAGGGATATGGTCCTAATCGGTCGAATTCAGATATGGGTAAGCTGTTTTATGACGCGGAGAGTAAATTTTCACCAAAGGTCGACAGACGATTGATGCAAGAAAAGTTGAAGGAAATCGAAGCAAAGAGTTTCTCCGGCACAATGGATGCCATAAAATCGCAAATGGTCGTGCCAACTGTTAGTTCTCAAGCAAACCCATCCGTAGATCTCTCCAAATATTTTCCCGACCAAAAGCAACAGAAAACCAATTCCGCTGCGGTCAATAAAAACCAAAAAAATTTAAAGGATGTTGATTTAGCAAAATATTTTCCCAGCAGTCCGACGCCACACCACCGCAGTGCCGTAGTGACAGTTGCAGACAAGTTGAAGAAGTCGCAAACGGAGAATGCCATTCCACCTGCGCCGACAACGACAGCCCCAAATCCAAGCAATGAAAACACAACGGCCGTTAAGGTCAACAAACTTGCGACAAAGCGACAAGCTTCACTGGGAGACGCCGCGTTCAGTTTGCGTGATCATCAGTTGGACGGCGCCGTTGATTTGTCGAAGAAATCTACACCAGTCGTAGTCAATAAAGATGTTGCTGCAAAAAGCAGACAAGCCGCCGTCACAACCACAACTGCAACGGCAGCTGTGACAAAGAAGGGTAATGTGAAGATCATAAAAAAGATTGTGCCCAAAAAGAAGGTGGGAGGAAACGCAACGAAAAAGGCCAATGGCGTACAAGACAAATCTATTGTACCACGTGATGAATCTGATCGGGTGTTAGATGAAATTCTACAATCCTCCGATAAGGAGATGCATTCACCCAGTGCGGAGTATTCGAAACTATTCAAGGAGGAAAAATCACCTAGTGAAGATCTTTCAGATAAAATTGAGCGTATGTTCCAAGAAACGGGCATAGATTTAGGCATAGCCGTACCGGCAACAATCAGCAATAAAAAGCGTTTGCTGAAAACCAAATCTCTGGGGGAGGGAGAATTCGAGCGACTCTCAAAAGAGAGAAGCATGGCGAAAGACGAATTGACAACTAAAGAGGACGGCGATCGTCCCATCGGTGTACAAGGTTTACTGGCACGTTTCGAATCAATGAGTTCGGTTAAGTCTTCGGAGCAATCGTTCAAATTGCGGCGTATGGAATCAACCATAAGCAATTTAAACAAGTCGCGTGAGTCACTAATTTCTCATGATTCTATCATGTCACGTGAATCAGACTCATTGAGTGATTTGGAGAAGACAATGGAATATCTGAAGTCTGAATGGCGTAATGAAGCAACCAATTTTTTACAAAAGAAGCGGAATAACTACTTTTCGAAGAAACGTGTGATTGAAGAAGAAGAAGCGGCAGCCAAAACCGAAGCATTGAAAAAGTCAAAGTACGAAGATTTACCAGTGCAATATCGGGATTCCAAGTTTGCCAAGTTTTTCGGTATCAAATCGAAATCACCGGAAAAAATTAAAACCAAATCACCGGAGAAGAAAAATGTGGCAACCACAAAAAAGACTTTAGTTAATGGCGGCACAGTGAAGAAGTCATCATCGCCAAGCAAGAACTTAAATAAAGCCACAGAAACGAAAGCGAAAATGTCTACAAATTTACAAGTTAATATAAAGAATGCCAAACGTAAGTCGCCTTCACCAAAACAAAGTCAAAGCAACAATTCCGAAAACACAAAGTACAACTTCGACAAGGTTTCAAAACCAGCAGAAGTAACAAGGAAGGCGATATCGCCGCTTAAAAGTCAAATGGAAGATTTCGAAACCTTACTATTAGTAGAAAAAGGTAGTATAATTAACTTAGAAACCAAGGTAGCACCAGTTGACGACCAAAATATTATTACGGCTCAAGTTCCTTGCGATCCAAACCGATCCAATGGCGTTGCGTGCACTGCTACTGACACGGCTATTCAAACCAAAACTTTATCGCGACAGAACTCCAACAACTCTGATAATTCAGCACCGGAAACACCGGTCTTAAAAAGACGGCCACTTGTAGAGGACATAAAAAATTTACCAAAGACTGGCTGTGACAAATCGTTAAGCAATTCACGTCGCAATTCCGCCGCAAGTCTGCATTCGCGACGCTGCTCAGATGTTTCGCTGGCTGAAAAACTGGATACTGTAGCCATAAAACTAACGCAAAGTTCGCTAGATAATCGAAATGTGGATGAACTGTTTCAAAATATTGTAGAACGGCTTTCTAACGAACACAGCGAACAAAATGCCAATACAGAAGAGGAATGTGATTCATTGTGTACGTCTATTAGTAAAAGCCCCAGTGCTGCACCGACAACAGTACGCATGCGTGGCTCGTCAGAGGACGAAAGCATTGAAAAGTTATTTAGTCAGTTCTCAGATGAAATGTTAGTGAATGTGGAGTTTGATTCGAACGATGAATTGGTGGGCATCACACCACGCATACCATTAAAGAGCACTCCGATCGAAGAGGACGCAGATTTTGTTGATCGACTTGAGTCTTTAGAAAAGGATGAGGTGCCTACAATCAAATTTGAAGCACTGGAATCGCCCAAAGCTTCATCTGATTTCATACAAGCCAATGAGCATGGAAATAACGAAAGTGCCACGACTAATGCTGATCAAAAAACACTCTGCAATCTCGCAGCCGCCAAAACAGGACCCTTAACTCTCGAGAGTATACAGACAATGCTATACATGGAGCCCCAAGAAATGCCTTTCCCCGTCCGTCCACAACGGCGACAGAAAAGTACATCATCCTCCAGCGAAGCTTCAGCGCCCATTGCACCACAACGCATCAAACACAAATTAGCAAAATTATGTCCCGACAATATGCCTCCATCGGTGCAGGACTTAATGCAAACCACATTCACAAAAAGTTTAACTGCTGAATTAGCAGCAAATGGTGGCATTTCAATACACAAGTTCCCACGTAACATATCCGAAGATGAATTGGAGGATGTGAAGGAAAGCCATTACCAGAACCAACCAGTCTCTTTTCAACGATCAAGCCCATTGACTGAAAATACGAGAAATGTACAAAGTTCAAATAGTGTTTTCAATGAAGGACTCCCTGTTAAAGATATACCTAAAGAAAATTCAAACGTTGTGGAAATAAAACAAACAGAAGATGGGAAGATCAATGATATGCAAACCATAAAAGACAAAGAAAGTAGAGTCAACTATTCTCATAATAAGCAACCAACTAAAGATATCACTTCGAATGTGGCTCCTAAAGTACCAGTAAAAACCGACACTTCTATTAGTCAAATAATAACTAAATCCAATGAAACGGAAATCGCCCTTCGAAGAAATTCTCAGGCCTCTATTGATGAAAACACGAATAATGTCCCCGAGTCTCCAGAAATGCAGCGAACCCTTCGAAGAAATTCGCAGGTCCCCATTGATGAAAAAGCGAGCAATGCAACCGAATCTCTAGCAATGCAGCGAAACCAACCACGATGCGCAATATATGGGCAAACAATTAACTCCGAAGCGATTCCTAACACACCAAGGCTTTCAAAATCTTCAGTCTTAGAACAAACAACATCACCTCTCAAACAGAGTCCATTATTACAGCGAAAATTATCGCAATCTTCTACTGACAGTGATAAGTTACCTACTCTCAATGACTCTAAAATTACGCAACGCAAACCAACCCAAAATTCCAATGTGGACCTAGGTAACTCTCCACTGATGCAATGGCGACTACTACAAGCTGCAAGCAATTCAGACTCAGCGGAGAATCTATCAACGATCACTAATCTTAAAGACAATTTAAGTGGAGATAATACAAAAACATCAAACAGCAATGAGATTTTGAGCGTTCCAAATTCCAGCAAAGCCTCAAGTAAAGAGCGATCTTTGGAATGGGATATGACTAAAATGCCGGCGAGTCCTATGCCACGACGTAAATTTATTCATGCCGAACGTCGTGGTTTAGACGAAACTAGAATAAAAGATGTGTCGCCAACGAGTTCAATAAGACTGCTGAATAATATATCCTCTAATAGCAGTGACTCAGATGAACGTCGTATAATAGAAGAATTCGAAATGGAGCGCCGTCAAGCATTGATACAACGTGACAAAGAATATAAAGAATTGGAGAAAAACGAAAGAGAGATTGAAAATATACCGAAAGTAAAGAAACCACAGGCGGTCAGTAGAATCAACAGCAACAACAACTCTAAGTGCACAACACCACGTCCCACACCACTGAGTTCGCGTCGGGGGACACAAGATAGTATTAGCACACAAAGAGAGGTCACACCACCTAACTTTAAAAAGCTTGTAATACCAGCTGAAACGGACGATTTACCTTCACTTAGTTCCCGTTGCAGCTCATTTGCGTTTATCGAGTTGATGAGCAATGGTGAAGCGAGGGAAGCGCCGATGCCAGAAAAATTGAAAATTCCCACAAAACCGCAACCGATAGTGTTACCAGAGATCAATGAACCTATAGCCGAAGTTTTTCAGAATAGACCATGGCCTAAGCCGGAGCTTTCACCAGAGATCGATATGAGTGATTCACCCGACACGGTGATCGAGGTGAAACGCGCCAATTCAGCTCCACGATCACCAGTCGCCGAAGTTTTTCGTAATCGCAAATGGCCTGATGGCAAAACGGTATTCAACGAAGTGAGTGAACAATACTCAGACGACGATGATTTCATCAGAAAGATCTCCAAGAACAGAAGCAAATACCGCAAAATGCAATCACATTCACCACAACCAACGACTCGGCATAGATTGGCTACCGATGAACTAAGTGATGGCAAAATGTCATCAAAGTCCATCACAGATCTTCGGAAAGATTCGCCCATCACCTCCATCTATGAAGCGGAACCCTCGCTTAATTTCGGTACGCGGTCATCCGCATCGAGTCTTGACAACTCATCTACACATACTTCCATCAGTGGTGCACCGAAACGACCGGTGCGACACATACCAGTTGGTCAAACACCCGAACAAACGATAGACGCCAATACACGAATGCTCTTGGATCGCAGCAAACGCTTACATAATCGTAAAAGTGAGTTTATCAATGAACGTGCCGCTGAACGAAATCCATATTTACGCGATGTAGTCAACGCAGAGCGCATAGAACGTGAGGCACTCGATGCTGCTGAAGACGAATTGGAATGTTATCGACCCAGCGGTTATAAGAGCAAACAATTGACGCGTTTTCCCACTTCGCGAACACTTGGACGCGATCATAGCAGATTGTCAAATAGTCACTATAGTTACACGCCTTCATATAATTCGGATTATGCGTTGAGCAACCGACGCCTTTATGGCACACCGACATTACCATATACCAGCACCACTTCTTTAAACCACAATCCATATTTGACTACAGGTAGTGCGGCGTACGGTGGCGCCCTTGGACGCAGCATGCATTTCAACGACTACACTAGGCGTAGTCCCTCGCGGCACCGTGAACGGGAACACTCCAAAGAATCGTGCGTTATAGCTTAAAAGAAATATGCATTCATTTATTTTGTTAGATGCACTAAATTTCCATATTTAACATTAGATTTTGGAGATATTAACATAATGCTTTCAACGAACAACAACAACTAAAACACGAACAAAACTCAAAGGAAGTCAAGAAACTTCAAAGAGTGATTTTACCCATATTTTGGCTCAATTAACGAACGAAACAAGTTGAAAACATAAGTACATTCACATATTTGTAAGAATTATAAACAATTTTGAATAAAAAAAATTTAATAACAAACTAATGTAATGAAACCAACGCCAGTCTCAACAAAATAGTACAACATACACATATCAAAGTCTTTAGTTAGCATTACACACACTAAAGAACTAAAGTAATCAATTTAAATAAATGTAAACGTAAACACAAACATAAACAAAAACAAAAAACAAAATATTCGTTGCAATGCCCGTACGTACGACCCTCCAACGACCAACCAACCAACGGACCAAGCAACCAACCAACAACCATTCAACCAAAAACGTCTGCCTAACTGCCCGCCAGCTTGTTTACGCTCGGTGTGCCTCAAACAAACATATAAATCCTTGAATGCGGTTAACAAAATTGTCTCCCACACATTCACATTTAAGAGCGGAAGAGGAATTGAAAAAGTTAAAACAAAAATTATGACAAAGTGCAATAAGAGAGAGTTGAGGCTTAACACTCAATAACCACCATCGGGTACGATCTGTGAAGGTAAAAAAGAACTAATACATAACCCAACCAAACCAATACCGCTTTGCCGTACAAGTGCGTATCAAGCTATAAATAATAACTGTTTCAAAGTTAGCTGGCTTTGTTTACGCTCGAGATCGAAAGATCGAGACATACTTGCGCCATCCATATTAACCCAGAATGATATGCGGGCATAACAAAATGTGCGTCCATTATGCGCTGAACTCACTTTAACCCACTGTTAGCGTTACTTAACCAACTTTGCCGCGTTCTATGCTAATACCTATATTTTTTAATTAATAAATTAATCAAAACATTTATAAATGCGTTCTTCAAGTGTAGTACTTGTGCTCATTTGTGCTGTGCCTTTTTGGATCGTACCTCATTGCTGATTGTTGTGTAATGAATTGAAATATCATTGCTCCCATCGTTTTGCATGCATTTTGCGAATCCATTTGCTTCCACACTCGCAACACGACTAAAATATCGACTAAACCGCTAGTGAAGAGATCACAAGCCAAAATCCACAAATCCGACTACTCCCTGCCTGGTTTTGTTGACGACTGTGTATTGGTACACAACGTTCACAGCCTTTATTGTATATTTGTTCGAAATTTGTTTCTTCATTGCCTTTAAATAATTAAACTAGCAATTCGGCAATTAAATAATACGCATTTACGTTTTGCAGGTCCAAAGCGAATCAGAGTCGACATCTCCCGAGGAGGTTGAGCTCAATTCAGCCACGGAAATTTCTACTGATTCGGAGTTCGATCACGATGAAATAATTCGTGAGACACCTAAAATATTCATCGATGATACTCACCTCAGAAAACCAACAAAAGTTCAAGTAAGATTATCTAAACAACGCATAGAAGCATGTATACATATCATAATTAATATTATTACAGGTAAAATCTACCGTTATTGCTTCGACTGCCAGTCAACGACATCACATACCATCCGCCAACACTGCTAATGCACACAATGCACACAACTTGAGAGGCAGTTATCTGCAGAAGTATCAAGTGAACCCACCACAACCACAATTCAAACCACTTGTACAGGTGGATCCGACGCTCTTAACGAAAAGTCGTACTCCCTTACAAAATCCACGTCCCGGCGATTATCTGCTCAATAAAACGGCCAGTACGGAGGGCATCGCCTCAAAGAAAAGTCTAGAGCTCAAGAAACGTTATTTGCTTGGTGAACAGGGCAATGGCAATAAGATACAAAAATCTGGCTCTACTTCGGTCCTCGACTCACGCATACGAAGTTTCCAGTCTAATATATCCGAATGCCAAAAGTTACTGAATCCAGGTAGCGGCATTTCAGCCAGCATGAAAACCTTTTTGGATCGTACGAGATTAGGCGAAAGTACAAACAACGATTTAATGCGTTCGGCAACAACAAACATTTTGAACGATCTAAAAGTTGAAATTACAATACAGAAGGCCTCGTCCACTGCCTCGACGGATAATGAGAAGGAAAACGTGTTTGTGAATAGTAAAAATGAGCTGAATAAGGGCATGGAATATTCGGAGACTGTTAATACGGCTCTAGTCGAGACTGTCAATAACAAAAAATCACCTTCAACGCCAACTAATAGTCACACAATTTTAGCCACAATAGATTTAGTTACCCCAGAAAAGGAGAAAGCAAAATCTATAATAGATATTACGAAGGTAGATATACCAACGAAAATGCTGGAATCGAATATCGATTTCATTGAGAACATTAATGTTGACGATGGTGAGATGAAACCCAATTCCCCTGAAAATAATGATGCATTGCTCACTGCCGATAGTAATAAAATTATAGATCTTACATGCGAATCACCAGTAAAAAGTGACAATACCATAATAGAAGAACTGAAGCCCGATGTATCGAAAGATGTTAAAGAAAGAATACCCGATTTATTGGGTCATATTGGGCAGGAAGTAAAATCAGCAGGTAAGACAACACAATTACGTCAAACAGAGGATCAACAACATCTTTTGAGTCACTCTTGCGATGAGGAAAAAATGGATTCACCAGAAAAACTCGAAGAACTTTTCGAGAACGATACGTTACAAATACAAGTGCCGAACATACCGTGGAGCACACGTAAAACGGACACAATGTCATCAACCGAGGGCTCCAGCTGCGCATCTGGCTCATCGAGCATCGAAGATATACAACACTATATATTAGAGTCAACGACTAGTCCAGATACACAAACCGGTGGTATGGCTATTGGGCATCAAGTACCACGTGTAGAAATCCATGACACATCCGGAACACTCATGCAAATTGATAGTTTGATGATAATTGACGGTAAATATATTGGTGATCCCGAAGATCTGAAATACATGGAAATACCCGCGGGCGTAGTCGTACCAGAGACACCTGCCATCAAGACTTCGGAAATCGAGGATGAAAACGAAGCAGATTTGGAACCAGTTACTGCAACACCCGAACCGGTGGAATGTACGGTAATCGAGGCTGAAACAAATAAATTAGATGAGGATGAAGAGACAGAGAATGCGTATACTGATGAAGCACAATTACCTCCATTGCCTGAGAAAGGTCCACCCTTGCCAGAACGCGGACCGCCAAATATAAAGACATATAATCTTAAATTCGATACTAAAAACGAAAATAAGGTAGAAAGTCTTAAACATCTACCTTTAATCGTTGAACAAACTATGGAACATACAAAAGCGGTAAAGCCACTTACGTTGAATTTGAATACTGTTCAAAAATCACCAAACACGCCCACAACACCTACAGCTGCTTCAGTCGCCTGCTCTGCCATAGACCGCACACCAAATTCGCCGCTTGTAGACAGTGATATAACACCGACGGGCGAAGTAATGTCTCGCGGATCTGACTCAGAAACCGAACTGACTGGAACTCAGGCGTTAACTGAAACAGAGTTGTCGGACTGGACAGCGGACGATTGTATTTCAGAGAATTTCATTGATATGGAGTTCGTGCTTAACTCTAACAAGGGAACTATTAAGCGTAATAAAAAAGAGAAGAGGCGGATGTCTGCAGCTTCGAAATTGCCGACCACGATTGAAATGCTGGGTGAGATAAATAAAACAGCGCCGGTTGCGGAATTCGAGGGCATACTGAAATCTATCGATATTGATGATATTGAATTTATGGATACCGGCTCTGAGGGTTCATGTGCAGAAGGATATTCTGCTACCAACACAGCGCTGTTGCGGAATCGCGGATACGTGGAGTTTATCGAAGACACACCAAAGCAAACGCCTTCGCAAAAAACAAATTCTCTCAAATCTGCAGCTGGTACACATAAACCAGTTGCTACCAAGCGTGATGAGAAACTTGGTGTAGATTACATTGAACAGGGGGCTTATATCTTACAAAGCGATGATCATGAACATGATATGCTTAAGACCCCTGTGAATGAAGAGTCACATTTGGTAGCATCGTTGGCGGAAAAATCTCAAGCCACGGGTCCGCCTTCACTCATGACACAATCACTGACCGATTCCAGCACACTTAACGATCTGGAGGACGACAGTCTCTTCACAGCAACACCAAACTCACAAATTCAGTTATCGACCGCCACCACTACTAAGACCACAACGGAAGAGAGTGAAGCGTTAACCGTTGTAACCAGTCCGCTTGACTCATCTTCACCAAAAGTAGCTGATGTGCTCAACAGTGCTTATATTGTAGATAAAGGTGCTGAATTGACAACTGGTTCAACTCCCAGTAGTTCAGATAAGAATCCAAAAACCTCACAGTCAACATGCACAACAATGAGTAGTTCAACTACCTCGTCGAACAAAGCAATACATCCGCATGGTGTCTCACAAGAAAATGCTGCACCTGTAGCTATTGCGCCGAAAACAGCACCACGTAAACCCTCAAATGAATTGTCCTATGAGGAGTGCGTTCGTGCGTTGCAGCAAAAAATTACACAAATCAGTACGGCTCGTGATTCCGATGTACGTAAACAAAGGCGAAAGAGTTCCAAAGGTGAAATGCCCGCCGGAAATGCTCAAACTGTGATAGAAGCAACACCAGCCGAATCGGAAAACGCGATTGTCAATGCATCTGTAACGGCAACTGCCAGTCCTTCCGCAGCGGCGACACAAATCCACAAGGTACCTGAAATTCCGACATTGACACGCAAGCTAGAGGAGATCACAAAGGAACGCACCAAGCAGAAGGACCTGATACATGACCTAGTCATGGACAAACTCCAATCAAAGAAACAGTTAAATGCAGAAAAACGTTTGCATCGCAGTCGCCAACGCACGATGCTAACAAGCGGTTATGCAAGTGGCTCTAGTCTAAGTCCTACACCGAAAATCGCGGCGGCTACCACAACTACTGACACCAATTGCACCAGTCGAGCGCACTATCATGAATCTACAGCAGCAACGCCGGCGACGACAACAGCAAGGGACACAGAAGAACGTTCAAATTGCTCAATTTTCAGAGATAGTATACCACTACAAAAATCATCGACATATGTGTCGGCCTATGGTATGTCCGGCGGTTCGCCAACCCGCATTATTGGTTATCATCAACGACCCTTCAGCGAACACTTGACCAGCGAGCAATTGGATGCATTCGAAAGATACAAATTAACTAAAACTCCATCGTTCTCATACGGCTTACCGAATCAATCCAACAAAACAACATTGAAGAATGAAATTGCTTACAACTTTGTGACACCAGTTGCACCTGCGCGTCATAATCGTAATCAAAAGGCCTTAATTTCTACCTTAAGTATT